ATTAGGCAGGTTGAGGACCACTGTGCTAGGCAGTCACTCCTATAGAAGTCAGAAACAAGTATTTTCAGAGGAAGCTGAACATGGGCTGACGGCCAGTAATGGGCTCAAGGTATGGCCCCTGCCAAGCACAAAGTTGTGTTGTTTATTGCCAATGATAATGGCAACTTTGTTTTTTTTCCAAATCGCTTTACTGGGGGCTTGTTCAACTCATCACAATCTATCCATCCATCCATTGTGTCGAGCACATTGGAACATTTGTTGCCATCATCATTCTCAAAACATTGTGTTTTTACTTGAGCCCTTGGCATGAGCTCCTCATTTTCCCCCCTCTCTCCGCGACCCTCCCTCCTTCATGAACCCTTGATACTTTTAAAAGTTAGTATTACTTTTTCATATCTTACACTAGCCAATGTCTCTTCACCCACTTTTATGTTGTCCATTTCCCAGGGAGGGGGTTATATGTAGATCATTGTGATTGGTTCCCCCTTTCTCCCTCCCCCTTTTCCTTACCTTCCTGGTATTGCCACTCTCATTATTGGTCCTTAAGGGTTTATCTGTCCTGGATTCCGTGTGTTTCCAGCTCTTATCTGTACCAGTGTACATCCAGTCTAGCCGGATTTGTAAGGTAGAATTGGGAGTCATGATAATGGGGGGAGGAAGCATTAAAGAACTAGAAGAAAGTTGTATGCTTCCTCGGTGCTATACTGCACCTTACTGGTTTGTCTCCTCCCCACGATCATTCTGTAAGGGGATGTCCAGTTGCCTACATCTGGGCTTTGTAGGGTCCCCACTGCGTACTCTTCCTCATCCACAATGATAGGATTTTTTGTTCTTTGATGCCTGATCCTATCAACAACTCATGATCACAGAGGTTGGTGTGCTTCTTCCATGTGGGCTTTGTTGCTTCTCAGCTAGATGGCTTCTTGTTTATCTCGAAGCTTTTAAGACCCCAGACCCTACATCTTTTGATAGTCGGGCACCATCAGCTTTCTTCACCATGTTTGCTTATGCACCCCTTTTGTCTTTGTGTCCGGAAGGTGAGCACCACCCTGTGCCCCCAACCAATGGCTGTGCTGTGCACAACGGACACCGTGCTGCCTGCTCTTGCCCCATCCTTAGGGTGCACTGTGGATCTGGCCACGTGATCAAGAGCTTTTAGGTTGGCTTGTTTTAAGCAGAGCACCAGGCCTTTCTGCTGATCTTAGTCTGGAAGCTCGGTTCTAACCTGTGCAGCTTGTGGCTGCACGGGAGGAGCCCTGGCCAGGAATCAAACCAGTTCTCCCACAGTGAGAGCAGGAGTGCCACCCACCATCGAGCTACCACTGCCAGCTCCCGTCTCTGTGAAGCTCTGCAAGTTCTTCTTTGTCGAGGCTCGCCCTGGCCTGGGACCTTGTACCAGGAAGGCTTGTCCCAGGAATGCATGCTGGTCCTTTCCAGCTACAGGAAGACGTGTCTCATTCTCTCTGGAGACATCAGACAGATGAAACCCACAGCCAACACTCCACCCCAAGGCCAGCTGATAGCTGGCCTCCTACAACTTCTTTGTCCAATTATTGTTATTTTGCCACTGTTTGGCATAAACATCACAGGGTTTGGTTTTTTTGAAACATAAGAGACTTAGCTTCATCTACCATGTCCCCGCTACTCCCCCAAACCCTGACAGGCCCTTTGCAATTCACAGTGACCCCACAGAACAGAGCCAAACTGCTCCAGAGAGCTTCCAAGGCTGTCAGTCTGTCTTAAAGCAGACAGCCTCATTTTCCTCCCAAAGAGCAGCTGATGGGTTAGAACCACCAACCTTCCAGTTGGCAGCCTAACTCCTACCCCACTGGGCCTCCTGCTTCTCCTCTAGCTTGCTGGTTTGGGGCAGAATAATTTAATATTTTTCTTTTTTGTGCATGTGCATGTGAAGAAGATAAACTGACAGGCAGAACCTTGCTACACTCTAGATCTGCCTCTCAGACTCTGGGGCACACATTCTCATTCACGCTGGTCCTGTAAAAGTCGAAACTGACACCTAGCCAATGTACTATCACGCCGGAGAGCAGGAAACCACCACAGAACACAGAACTTTGATTTTTGCAGGTTGTGTGTTTTGTTTTTGTCAGGCACTGAAAGCACATTAGGAATTATGCTGTTACCAACCATTTGTTGAAGTTAGCGGACTTCCAAATGGAGAGACAGCTTCTAGATGCTCATGTGGAAGCAGGCAACCCCGCACTACGTGCCCTGCCCCAGTGGATGGGTCAGGGAAAGCTTCGCAGCTGTCCCTGTGGCAAGGTGGTGGTTTGAGCGCTACATGCCAGGAGCTGTCCCACCGGCATTAAAGATGTCAGCAGGGCTGCCCCGGTGGGCAGGAAGGCTTGTAAAATATCCGTGAGGATTTTTTCTGGTACATTTGTGGTTTCCAGTTTTGCATTGGATGAAACCCAGTGGCGTAGCAGGCTATGCATCGGGCTGCTAAACAGAAGGCCAACAGTTCCAACTCAGCAGCTGCCCTGAGGGAGAAAGATGAGGCTGTCTGTCCCCGTAGGGTCGGTCTGGAACCCACAGGGGCAGCTCTGCCCTGTCCTGTGGGGTCGCTGAGTCAGCAGCGACTTGATGGCAGTGAATTTGGGTTGTTTGGGGGTTTTATTGCATTGATGTCTTGACACCCCAGGAGAAGCAAGCACATTTACAAGTTTGTCCAGAGTATGGCCAGAGACCCCACAGAATGTGTTCCATAGTCAATGCAATGCTGCTGGTTTGAAACAGGGCCTTTTTCCCTAAACACACCGAAGGGCGGGGACCTGATTCCCCAGACTGGCTGCCCTGAGCTGGCACGCTCATTTGATGGGGGTGCTGGAGGGAAGCCTGGTGGCACAGTGGGTACGGGTTGGCTGCCCACCCCAAGGCCAGCAGTTTGAAACCACCAGCGACTCCAAGTGGAAAGACGAGGCTGTCTACTCCCTTCAAGAGTTAGTATCTGAAACCCACAGGGGCAGCTCCGCCCCATCCCGTAGGGTTGCCATGAGTTAGAATCAACTCCGTGGCAGTGAGCTTGGTCTGCTTTAATACATCCCCTGCAAGTGCCTCTCTGTGGTGAAGCATGCCGTGTTAGCTGCTACCGATGCTTTTGCCGGCCATTCAGCTCCGCAGGAGAAAGAGGAGGCTGTCTACTCCCGCGAAGAGTTCCAGTCTCAGAAACCCACGGGGTGGGGGGTGGCAGGCCGTTCTGCCCTGGCTTAGACGGTTGCGATGAGTCGGCATCAACTGGACGGCAGCGAGTTTGTGTGGTTTGTGGAAACGAAGCCCTGAGTCACCGGGAGCTGGCAACTGAGAGACCAAGGCCACTGAGTCGGAGCGGAGGGTCAATCAGCCTCCAGCTCCCAGGAAAAACACCAGATAGGAGTAAGGTGCAAAAAAGAGGGGAGGGAGGGAGGAGGGAGCCCAGTGTCTACTGCGCAGAGGCACACTTCCAGAGTAGGGGCCAGGGAGCTATCATGGCCCCTCCCTCGGGGAGCACTCAGGGAGAGAGGCTGATCTGAAGGGGCAAACTCCCTGCACCCCTCAAAACCAGGGTCCCACCCCCCACGGACCCTGCAGCCTTTTTCCTTTAGGGGACAGTGGGTTCTATCTGAGCTCAGGGGGTGGGAGGAAGTCTAAGATAAGAGACCTTCACCTACCCACCTGCCCACTAACTTCCACTGCTGCTACTCTGACTGCTGTGAAGCTTTCTGTGTCCATAGCAGCATCGTCAACTAGAGAAAGGGGCAAGGAAGGGGCAGCCACTCTTTACTCTAACCCTCCCCCACCCCCGAAAGCAACCACAGGGGCTCCCAGTCGATGCTGACTCCCAGGGCAGACTTCTAACCTGTCCACAGCCTGCACTTCCTTCTGAGGCAGCTCCGCCCTCTCAGGGAACAGGGAAGGGCCCTGGCATCTGCAAGGCTGTAAACCCAGGGACTCCGGGCAAAGGGCCAGGACACATCTATGTGGGGGGCGGTCAGATG